GTGTGTGTTGCAGCATACAGTGACAACACGCTTTTGCTTTGAAAAAAAAAAAGATAAAGTTCTATATATATATATATATATATATATATATATATATAAACACACTTATGGTGGTGGCACAGATATTTTGTATTGTTTTTATTACCAAAAACATTAAACTTGTATGTCGAGTAACTTTTTCCAGTGTTGTCTTTTTGTTACAACTTCCATAACTCTCTCTGCCACACCGGAAACGAAGATCTGGATCAAATCCTGAGTGATATTGATCCATCCTGGAGTGATTAGTGATTGGAGTTAACTGAACACTAGTCCTCCGTTCGTGTGCTTCCACCAGAAGAACTCTTTTTTTTGTCATTTCCGCCAGTAGTAAGATCTGGAAAAAAGTGTTTTAGACGTACAAACATACACTAGTTTTGGTACGTCTGGCATACAGGAGAGCGTAGCACCAAGGTGGCAGAGCTGGTTGATCTTTGGGTTATGACTTTGTTTACATATCTTCCTTTAATTGAACAATCCATGGACCTTTCAGCTGACCACCAATACTACATTCACTCCTGTTGCACATATCAAAAACACGAATGTCCTAAAACAAAGTTGATTACGTTGTACTGTGGCATACTTACCAGGCGATACTGGATTGATTTATAATTTCAGTTTGATTCTTTCACAACTTTGCCTTGTTTTATTCAGGCCTAAAAATACAGTGGAAAATGGAAACGCCTTAAGCTAAGTAAGCTTCTTGAAATATATCCAAATAATATCTTAGAAGCTGAACTGTGAGATTTTGTGCAATGATAAATAAAAGGCTTAAAATCACTGCAGAGAAAACAGAAGTGAAGATGGAAAATACTAGGGCTGTCAAAATGAATGCTTTAATTCACATTCTTTTAACGGTATAAATGTTTTGAACATGTTCCTGTGTTTTTTGGACATCATCTGTTCTGCAGTTTGGGTGTAATTTCCTTTTCTGTTTCAGCTGTTTCTCTATAGAGCCAATCTTCCGTTTCTTAAAAAGTAATCTGTGAAAACGTCTCCACTCTCCTCCACAGGAAGAACACAAAAATTAATTTACTGTTGTAGACAAAACAACGTAGCAAAGCATCATTTTACACGCAGCAATTCACGACTGAAGCAACAGAATTAAACTAAAAATTTAGTTTTTAGTTTAAAAACTAAATTTTTAGTTTTTAAACTAAAAATTTAGTTTAAAAACTAAACTAAACAACGATAAACACATAATCAAAGACAATTGATTTGTAACAAAAACATTTAACAATTAATTAATCTTGATTAGTTCACAGCAACCTTGTGATTCATCAGATTAAAATGTTATTATTGAACTACAAGCAGGAATACAGAGGCCTGTTTTAACCTTCTCTGGCCACAACTTAGACAGTTGTTCCAACTGAAGCCCCTACGGTGATAAAAGTCCTTCATGTCAAATGTGGTCACTTTGGAGTTCATCACAGACGAGAAGCTGCAGTAAAGTCACCATGCAACACCCGAAATCTGTCAGAAGCATCAACTCTGACTCTATGATGTGCTTTTGTCTGCAGATGTGAGATAAAAGACCTTCATGGTGCATAAAAGTCTATCCAGAGGCTGGCAGCCGAGGAGAATCCTGGGAAAGGTCAGAGATCTTGGCGTTGTCGTCCCCACGGCGGGGGTTTGGAGTATGGGGAGGGACAATAACTCCTTGAGGTTGGCGGTTTGTGAGTGGGTGGGAGAAAAGCCCGAGGAGCTGGATGGACTCTTCAGAAAGATGATGGAGAACAGGTATGACAGCAGCTCAGGTGAGAGAGCTGGGCGAACTGTTGACAAAACAAAACCGGCCGATGAGTTGGACACGAGGAATGCTGGGTTCAGTGTCGAGTGTTGGGAGTGTGTGTTGGCTGTGAGGGATCTGTCAGCGAGTCTCTCATCACACCAGCAGGACAGAAATGTTAAGAGCTGGTTAAGAGAGCTTCCTGCCCTTCAAACTCTGGAAAGCAGGAAAGTAATGTCCAGTTCTGGTCAGGAATCATGTTTACTCACAATCAGGGAGTTTTCAGTTCCTCCAGACATGACATCTTTATCAGGCATTCCTTTCACCTCATTTACTTTTGAGGAAACCAACAATAAAACCAATCAGAGAGACATTTTTTACAAACCATCATTCATTGACCGTGATTGGGACAAACTCCAAAGAGTTGTGATGAATAAAGGTCTGGTAGGAGTAAATAAAAAGCCTCAGACTTTATATGAGGAAATCTGGCAGCTAACATTTCTTGTTAAATCTGCTGTTGAGATGAAAGAAGTTGATTAACACTATTACAGCTGCTGGAGTTATTGCTTTAGTCAGTCAGCCTGCAAAAGGGCAGACCACTGGGAGTTAGTGCGATAAGCTACCGGACTACACAGAGCTGGACAGTGAATGGGCTCAGTGACGTCTAAAGCCAGTGCTGCCCTATCGCTTGGTCCTTATGGGAAACATGGTAACATTGATTAAAAATACCACATTTTCATAGTATTTACTTAAAAAAACTTCCATGGCAAATCCTCGTTGCAAAGAATACCAGTTGATTTCATATCAATATGCGCTTGTGTATATCAGATGTTCTCGTGTTTACACCATAGTTTCTTCAAAAGAAACTTTTCAGACAATCACTAATGGTTCATCACACCAGCCCTGTTTAATTCGCATTAATAAAACTCCAGTTTGGTTCGTTTGGGGAGGTGTGAACGCGCAGTCAAACTCCACAAAGTGAACTTTGAGACGTCTACAAATTTAGTTAAAATTAACTCTGTTGCAGTTTGAATGCATATGTGAACACCAAGCAGACTGGAGATCGCTCCAAAAGCAGGAAGCAGGGAATTCTGGGTAAATGCAACCAAAACAAACGCATGATTCCAGCACTGGTGGGAGAAATGGTTTGCAGTGTTTTGTCAAAGACAAAAGAAAAATCCTGATGATCCTCCATGTTTGTTTACATTTGTGAAGAAGGAAGTTGTGCTCCGTGTCTTCTTCAGAGGTTTTTGTGTTATTTTCTTCTGGTTCTTGCTTCAGCGCTCCCACAGGCGAGGAGGGGAACAGGTTGCTCAAAAGATTTGGGCCAATAGCTTGTCAGTCCAATCCACAAACAGACGAGTTATGTGAAAATAATTAATAGCTTTGTTCCACAGAGAAATGTGCAAATAGGTAAATCTTTGAATACTGAACCACAATAATATTTTTAAGTGTCTTTGTCTGAACTATGATTTAATCTGGAAATTATTTTACTGCAGAATGTGAAGTTTTAATTTTTTTTAATTTAATTTACTAAAATTCCTCCTTGATTTCAGTTCATTCTGCAGTAAAGCTGAAATGATCATCTTCCACACATGTCGTTAATTTTTCCTGAAACGGCAAAATCTTTCCAGGTATTTCATGCATTTACTTCTTTATGATGCATCTAGAAGTTAGTGAAAGAGACCTAACTGTCTGTTTCTGCAGAGGTTTTCAAATCAGACATTCTGTCAACAACCACAAATTCACTGCCTGTAAAAAGCTAGAGCGTACACTATGGCATGTCCACTCACATTAAGAAAATCCCCCTTGTTTTTTCCCCGGATCAAATCATAAAATCCCCATTCTTTCCTGACACGTAACTCCTCCTGACTGCTCACACAGTGATTCACACAGTCATTCTATTTTACTGTGACCTGTCTGGAGCCTCACGTTTCCAAGGTGGTTAAAACATGCAGGAAAACAATATATTTGCAAACATGAACTAACCCAGGGCTGACGAACCAGAAGGTGGAACAATGGAAGTAGAGAAAGGAGAAGAAATGCCGTTCACACGTCCCCAACTGTTCACAGATGCAACAATCTGCCAGTTTCACACATTCCTCTGGCCTGAGCGAACACTGCGCCGGTTCATAGCTGTGAAAACCGTCAGAGCTTCCCATTATCCGACGGCAGAGAAACCCCTCTGTGAGGTCCACAATGAACAACCTGTGTCACCAGATTCCTAACATTTATTGCGACTTCCTAAATTTCTGCTGAGAATGGGATTTGTATCGTTTCCATAGCAACGGAAGTGAAGATCCGTAGACCTGCTGGAGTTGATGATCAATGATGAAGTCATGATCATTTAAAGGGGATTTGCATTTAGCATGTATTTGTCCTACCATTTGGGTTTCTACTGCTTTTAAAAACACCCAGATGATTTTTGGCAATAAGTTAATGATTTTTGGTGTCTGGAAAATGAGCTGTTTCAAAAACCGTCAGAATGTAACGTCACTGTCCAGCAGTAGGCAATGCTCGTTACCTAGCAACCCCAGCAGAGTTCCACTCGTTACCTAGCAACCCCAGCAGAGTTTCACTCGTTGCCTAGCAACCCCGGCAGAGTTCTGCCTCGCTACCTAGCAACCCAAGCTGCCCCCCAGCATGTTTGGTCAGCTGGTTTTACTGCTGTACACGCTGTGCAATGGCTGCTGGAAAAGACAAGTGTTTTGTTGTTGATTTATCCTTTAGTTTGAGTTTCTGATCAGTAAATCTTGAGATTGCTTTTGCTGTGAACAGAAAAAAAAATCACAGAAAATTGAAATTTTTATTTTATGTTTCCAGTGAGTTCAGTATTTGTTTTAAAGTTGACCTATTATGCTTCCTTGAGCAAGTTAGGATCAGTCTGTCAGCGATTCAAAACATGTTCATAAAATTTTTTTGCACAAAATCATTCTTAGGGTAATGAGGTTTTAGCTGTTTTAGGGCCTCCTGTCACTTTACATCCAAATAGACTGAGTGTAAACTCATTTTTTGCATTCGTATGAGAAATTGGCAGCAAAAGGTGCAGAAGGAAGAACAAAATCAGATTTCTACAAGATGTGCTCCTTTATTTTAAAGTATTTGTGATAACTATCTGCAGATTTAGAAACATATAGAAGAATACACATGCACTGAATGTAAAACTGCTGCAGTAGAAGACAAAGCTTTCTTTATTCGTCATGAGTTGTAACGTTTTCTGCTGCTCTTCTGCTAAAAGGTCAGAGGTCGTCCTCTGCGCCTTCCCTCCTGCAGTCGTATTTTCATATTGGTTCTTGTTTAGATCTTTTAAATGTGTTTATAATTAATTTCCTTCCCAAGTTTCTCATGAAGGCACAAAGTTTGTAATGGGATCTCGAAGCGTGCTGCAGAAAACATCTGAAGTATTTCTGGCGCTGATAATTCCTGAACTGATTTACTGTCAGTGTGAGGGCGCGGGACTCAAAGTGCGGTTACCGTGAAAGCAATAAACTACAGTGAGCGAGGAGGAGCAGTTCGACCAGCAGAGAAACACCCCGAGGTGTTGGAGCTGCAGACGGAGCGAGCACGCCTCCATCCCGTCACTTAGAGTCCAGAAATCCTCCTTTTGGATTTAATTAAATCCTGATTCTGGTCTGGAAACGTCTCCCTCAGCAACAGATGAATCAACATGTCAGCGCAGGGACGTTATCACCGCCAGACTGAGTCAGTGCATGTGATGTGGGACAACTTGGTCCCATTTCTCACATTCTAACGCAGCCAGCGTGACTAAACGCCGTTTACGGTACAGTTTAAATAGAGTGCAGGAAGACGAAGGCTTTATGAAGTGAAAGCTTGTTAATGCTCCTCTGAGCAGCGCTGCTGTCCAGCATCAATCAACAGTGTACAGTATATAACCACAATTACAGCTCTGCCTTAAATCTGCCTGGTGATCCTCAGAGCCCTAGCATCCTGATAAAAACCGGTTTTCCCTTTTGAAAACTTTCCCTAAAATATGTTTGGCCAGAAAAAAAAAGTGTTCCCATAAATTTCTTCAGCATCATTCCCAACAGTCCAGCAGCTGTTTCTAATCTTTTCTGCACTCTATCTTATCAGACCAGTTTTTATCTGTCAAGTGAGGAAACTGCTACTTTTCCATGGAAAAGGAAGCACTAATCAGAAATTAGTGGTGGATTTCAGATTGCTAATGCTATTTCACTTTATTGTTCCATTTTAAAGGATTTTAGTTCAGAACAGGGTTTATGGTTGTGTTTTAAAGGTCAGTTTGAGTCCAGACTGAAAGCATATCCATTTTCAACACTAGTTACAAAAAAAGGGGGATATTAGTACTTCACTGAATTGAGTTTTTTTGTGGGGGGAAATCACTGCAGCTAAAATTAAATATTTCTTGGTTTTTATTTATATTATTAGCTTGTAGTGTTTTCTGCCATTTTTGTAGTTGCCTTGTTCTTTTTGCCAAACTTAGTCAGCTGAGGTTGTAGTCATTGTGCTATATAAATACACTTGGACTTTTAAGGTTCTGTTCATTAAGTCCAGGTTCGACTCATCAGAAATATTTTAAACTTTTATCTCGAGCTGATCATCTGCCCTTCATTGTATTTATTTGTTTTGTTTATTTTTAAGAATTTTTAAATAGCTGTTTAGCTTAATGCCTCCCCCAACTCATCGTCTGCTGCAGACAGATGAACAAGGATACAACTACACATCTTTGAAAAGCAGAAGTGGAACCTCCTGCACAACCAACAAGAATGATAAGTCAACAACAAAACACTCATCTTTTCTAGCAGCACACAATAGCGATAAAACCAGCTGACCAAACATGCTGGAGCTCAGCGTAGGTTGCTAGGTAACGTATGGAACTGTGCTGGGGTTGCTAGGTAACAGGCAGTGCTAGCTGAGTTGACTTTACTTTTAAAAAAAAAATCAATAACTTGTTGCCAAAAGAATTGCTAGATTTTTTTTTTTTTAGCACTTTCACTGTTTTTAGATGTAGTTGGAAACCAAATGGAAGCACAAAAATATGCAAAATGTGAATTTTGCATAATAGGTCCCCTTTAAATTAGTACCTGGAAAGAAAATGCTCAGAAAGGTTCCCACTTATGTACAAAATGTACGTTTCTTGGAACCAATGAAGGTTAAAATAAAATCCAGATTTTTTGAGTATATGTGACTCCATCATTAATATCCTCTCTTGTTAGCACACCTCATGGTTTTTTCTTTGTTGTTTCCAGAAAACCAGTGTAATCCTGACATTACATCGATGCCTTCAGCTGTCGTTGAGTGACGATAATCCTTGCGTGACAGCAACCTACCAAAGTTCATCTTTCAACGCCGTCTGCTCCTCAAAAATCTCACAAATCACACCTTCACACACAACCACGGCGCAGGAAGACAGATTGTGGGAGAACTGGAGCCTGAGCACCCAGGGGGCCCTTTGACGGCGACGGCTTTTCATCGGCTGGCGGTGGAGTCAGTTTATGGAGGAGCGGCACGGGATAACTAGGACAGCTAAAGAGGAGCGGCCCGGACAGGCAGGTGAGGCAGATTGGTGTGATATCAGAGGAATGGCTCCGGGGCTGGAAGTGTGTTTGGAGGAATGAAGACTTACAGAGCGAACAGATCCTTTCTTCTTCAAAGACTTCTGATCACACAGCTTCTCTCTCTCACACACACACAGGAGCGAGAACACACACCTCACAGTGGCATCCTCTAACTTTCTGTTCTTGATTCAAACACATAGTTTCCATGTAAACGCTCAGAGAATGTGTGTTTGCCAGGAGTCTTTGGAGAGAAGCTCTTCATCATAAAAACCACAGAGAACAAGCAACTTTCTGGAGAAGAACCACATCAGTCATCAAATTCTGAGAAAGCTTTTTAAATAAACATGCTTTTTGTGCTATTTAATATTAAAACTCTTTAATGTTTTAGCTTGATACAATCTTGGAATGCTCTTGACATCTGAATGCATGTTAACGTTATTTTTTCTTTACAAATTAATCCAACAGAATCAATCTACTGTGACTTCTAAAAGTATTTATACGCCTCCGTCTCACTCTACAAACAAAAACCTCAAAGGTATTTTATTGGGATTTTATGCAACAGACCAACACAAAGTGGCTTTTAATCGTCAAGTTGAAGGAAAGTGATTTGCAGTTTGTTTGTGTTCAAGTTTCTTACATCAGTACAACCAACAACCTTTCCATTTTTCTTTACAAAATGACCAAAATTCAGGCGAATAGGTCGGAAACAGTCTGTATTCAACTCGTGCCAATTCAATGCAGATATGGACTTTGACTGGGCCATTCAAACACAAAAAAAATGTTTTGAGTTAATTTCTTCTGTTCCAGTCTCAAACCTTCTGCAACTTCTAGGAGGTTTTTCTTCCCATTTCTGCAGGAAAAAATCATCCTCCCAGCATGCTGCTGCCACCACCGTGTCTTACAATTACCCTACAGGATGCAATAAGCGTGATTTTTTTTGGTTTGTTTTTTATTTTACTATATGCAACGATCCAATCGTAGATGCAGAACATTGAATGGTTTTAGCACATTCTTAAATAAAAGTCTCCCAGTTTGTTTTTTAATTTGGACACGATTAAAAAAAAGAGAGAAAATATATAAAATATTCAACTTGCCAGACAGAAAACTTTACAGCGACACACAATAAATATTTAAATGTAACATGATTCAAAATGGCTGGGTGCTCAATAGTTCAAAAATATTAAAAACCATAAAAACAATAAAATAAAATAATTGTAAAAGATTAAAAAAATACAATTAAACTATGCCAAATCAAATTTTGGACTCTTATGGCAACAAGAACAAAAGACAACAGAGAGAAACCAGAATTCATTCATTCTTATATTGCGGTTGGGGGCCGGACAAAATCAGTCCAGGGGCCGAAAATGGCCCCGGCACCCCATTTTGAACACCTGTGGTTTGTACACTATGAATATTGTCACGTTGCTGAAATAATGGCCTAAGACATTTTTTGCGAAAAGTGATTCTTTTCTTTTTTTTTACCTAAACCGTCTTTACTACATTGCCATATTGTCCAAACATTAAGTACCAGCATGGTAAAGTTTTGAAGCCACAGCAAGCTGTCGCTCTGCCTTTCCTCAGTTTGATGATGCCGAGTCCTCCACTGGTTTAAATTTAGCTTCCTGTGATATTCCTGCTTGCTCTCTGACGGACTTGTTTTTGTTCTCGGCGCTCGCGGACGGCCTGATTAATTTGCATCGAGAGCTTCTCAGCAGCTTGTTGTTGGTTCATAACAGCCGCTTCTTTTTTTAGGAATAATTAGGCGTCTGCTGCTCAGGAGATACGGCAGCGGCGCGCCTGTCAAAAGGTCAGCGAAGGACATGTTGGCGTACGGCTGGAAAAAGGTACGAAAGACTCACTGAGTGTGAGAGCGAAGATCTGCAAAAACACAAAATCTTACCAAGGATTTTGGTCTAGTTTCTAGTGCAAATATACTGCTACATTTGAACGTTTCAGCAAGATATAGAAGCCTGTTTTAAGTCAATAATTCCTTAATAATCTGGCAGATTATTTTATTTACACATAAGAAAGATATTATTGTTAAAAGTGAAATAATCTGCCAGTGGGCCTGTGACTTTTATCATCAATATTAAGGAATAATTGACTTACAACAGGCTCCAGTATCTAAGGTAGTTTTGTCTTATTTCAGGTGTGCTAACGTATTTGGACCGAAATACTCGGTAAGATTTTGTGTTTTTGCAGTGTAGAAGTCTTGATCTTACCAATGGAGAGTTATCCACCAGTCCCATGAATATTAAAAGGTGAGTTCACAAACAGAGCATGTTCTCACATGTCTGAGCTTCAACAGGACCTAATCCTGTGGGTTTAGGATTATTGCAACAGATTAAAAAAGATAAAAGAAATGTAACTGAGCTGCTACACTGCAAAAAAACACAAAATCTTACAAAGTATGTTGGTCCAGTTTCAAAACTAACTTACAAGTAAGTTTTCCACAATATGAGGGAGCTTGCTTTAGGTAAATAATTACTTAATATAGTTGCAAAAGTACTAGTTCCACTGGGAAATTATTTCACTCATTGCATGGGGAAAATGTCTTATAAGTGAATCTAGGAATTTTTCATCTGTATTCAAGAGTTATTGACTTAAAACAAGCTCCTATATCTTGATGAGAAGTTGCTTCTATGTTAATTTTTTCTTATTTTAAGTGAACGAAGACATTGGCAGTAGAACCTAGACTGGGATTTTGTGTTTTTGCAGTGAATTGATGCAGCTCTTCATGGGAAGAGCTGCCGTCTGTCCAACCTGCATATAAACTCACGGCTCTGAAGTCGTTTTTTTGGGGAAAACCAGTGACTTATGGCGGGACGTTGAATCTGCTGATTGGCTGAGGAACACGGAAAAGCTCCAGGTTCGAGGATTAGAGGTGGATGATAAATACACCCCATGAAAAAGAAAGTTTTTTAATGTTTACCTTCATCTGTGGATTCTTGATAAATGATCTTATAGAAGCTTGTTTTTGCAGGGCTTTGTGACATTCTACCTGCAGGGTTTTGGTTTCTGTATGAAGCACATTTTTTTACTTCACGGATTCATTTTTACCTTCTCAAGTAAATCCTGTAATGGAGTCCTTAAGCCTTGGCTTCTGGCTGCAGAATAATGTGATCTCATGATTTTAGGATCTCTTTAATGTAATTTATTGTTTGTGTCGATTTATGCATCTCATTATGCTGCATTCAGCTTCTCTTAAGGTTATATTTGTAAAATTTAATTTGCTTTTTGCACACCGTTATGTCAGATTATGGAGCAGTTTGCTTTACCGCAACATAAAAATCTTGTCCTGATTATTTCAGTCTTTGATTTATGAACGTCTGAATCTGGATATTAACAACTGTTTGCTTTGTTTTTAAATTAACTGTGTGACTCATTATGTTGGCGCTGGAACAGGCAGAAAACGAGGACAGACAAAGCAGACAGGTCAGCAGAAACTCAGAACGAGGAAAGTTTTTCATTTAATCAGCCCTGGATCATCCCTGCAGACGGGATTTGGTTATTTCCTGTTTGGTATGATATTTCAAATTTCCAATCTCGTTTGTCTTTTGTAATCTGGCTGCAAAGATAAGCGCTGAGGGATTTATGAAGACACACAAAGACAAACCCTTTATTGGTCTATGCTTGGCTATTAGCTGTGTTTCCATTACAGATGTGCGCAAAATTTTCTGATATTCAACAAACATCAAAAAAGACAGTTTTGAAACAGCTGCGTTTCTATTAAACTTGAATACGTTTGTTCACACGCAAGTCATTTAAAAACAAGCAGCGCCATTTTCCTCCTACAACTTCCTGTTTTGAACTTCATAATTTCTGCCAGTAGTAACATCCGGTTGTTGATCAGGTGACTCGTGTGATGAGAAAAGAGTGTTTCTATTGCAGTTTCGCAAATTTTGATACAATTGAAAAACCAACTCAGCCTAGAACCAAAAACTTTTTATCAGTTTTCTCTAAACTGACATGTTTCCTGTAAGTGAATTTATTTTTGTAATTCCAATTTGATGCCGTTTCCTCAAAGAGCGTTCTCTGTGCATCTCCCACTCTGCTCCTTCAGACTAGCTAGCAGCAATTAGCAAACACCTGGTGGAGCTTTGCATCTGCTGAGCTCATCATAGCAGCTACGTCTCAATGAAACGCTGATAAAAACGTTGTTAAAGGGTTAATGGAGGAGCCATGACTTCCTGAAGGTGGAGTTTCAGAAAGAGCAGGAGATTCTTAAAGAGACAGAGTCCTACTTTATGAAGTCCAATTTCTTTTAAGTCATATTTGATATCCATACATAGATGTCCCTTTAAAGGTGCTGAGCGACTGAATGCTGCTTCTCCATGTTTGGTTCACTTTGACTTATTTTAACCTGATCTCACAAATCTTTACCTCTCGGCTGTTTCACCTCCAAGTTCCTCTTCTCCATCCTTGTCGCTCGGTGTTTTTGGCAAACAGGTTCTGTGTGTGTGGGTGTGTGTGCGTGTGTGTGTGCACTTCGATTTCAGCTTCGATTGACTTTCTTCTGCACTTGTTTACCCAAACATGAACTGTAACGACGCGACGTGGCGGGCGGGTGAGCACAAAGGCTGACCTATGCAGACTGAATGCTAACGCGGGCGAAGGAACGCCGGGGCAAACGCGAAGACGAATACCCGGGAAGCACTTAAAAACGCAGCCAGAGCTGTTGACTCGCTGGTCCGTCTGGGACGAGAGCCGGAGCCGGAGGGACGGGGCTGAAAACGAAGCGCTCCGCCGCCGACCGCCTCGATCAATGAAGGGCACTTATGAGAAGAATGCGCGCTGCTTGGAGGGTCTGGCATGAATGCCCCAGCATTATTTTATTTTTAATCCAGCGTGTTTTCCCGTGGCGTCCTCCCTTCCAGCAGAGGAGTCTCGCTGGAATGTCCCTCCGCTTGACTTTTTTGCAAACAAGCTGCACAAACTGAGTTATTGAAATCCGCTGCAAGTGAAACATTTCTCCTAATGGTTTGTTGTGCAGCTCTGAAGGTGATGCTCAGGCTGTAATCAAAGAAGCATTGATGTTCTGCTCCAACACCTTGACGGGGAAAATGGGGCCTTTGTCCGAACCTCTTTGATTATTTCTCCTGCTAATGGCTGCACTTGTGTCAATAAAGTCTGATTATGGGTGTGTGGGTTTTTTTTTAGTTTTGTTTACTGAGCTGCACTTTCAGCAGTTGCCACCCATGACTATATTTGACTTCAGCTGAACAAAAATGTAACTGCCCACAAGATTCCCAGATAGTCTGGCAGCATTTAAGTTTGACCCCTGATCTCAGCGGGAGTGTTGGTAGGCTGTGGGAACAGAGGAGATGGTAAATTAGGGGTCTACCCTTTATCTGCAGGAATGGGCTTTCAGAGAGGAGGCGGCGGAGGAAGGAAAGTGTTAACAGGAAGATGAGGGACGGAAAGGAGAAAATAAACAAGAATATGGTGCACAGGTTTGTCATTTATTTTGGTTTTTCTCTTATATACACAGTCAACTATACGCCACATTTATTTTTAGTTCATAAGCAAGTTGAACCTCGACTTTTTATAGCCATCAGGAAACTGAAATTACCTGCAGAATTGGTTCATTTTATATAAAGTTTATGCTTTTCATTAGGATTAGGACTTTGGGAGGAATGGATGCTTAAGTTTTATCAATCAATCAATCAATCAAT